CTAAACATTTAATCAACATTTTGGAATTGAAACAGCTTCAATGGGGAAATGTTGGACATCCAACAGGCAGGAAATAAAGCACTTAGATAACACTGCTGTAAATAGCGCTACTTCTCCTTGTGGCAAATAAAAATCAGCATTTGCCACTGAAGTCTGTGCTATACTGAAACCAAAACACCTGTAGCGGCATGTTGAACTCAACCCTATCTGTGACGGATAGTGGAACTGATCTGGAAAATCCTTAATAATGAATATAACTAGATGGACTTTACATTCTTTATGTATTTTGTCCGTCTCAACAACTCTGAAAGATTGGTTTTCTTACAAGTTTTTTTTTACATGAACTTCAACAGAAATGCTTCATAAGAATATGTGATTTTAAAAGGATCTTAATAGAATTTTTTTCATATTTTATGTGTTGTAAGCAAAAACATTTTTCCAGGTCTTATTCTAACTATCTGATAAGTGTAAAGAAACTTGTTTTATGTTTGGATTCTTGGGATAGTTGCTCATCTGCTGAGCCCACTATTGTTTACTGTACTGTGGCCTCAAAGATTTGGAAGCTCTCACTGACGCAGGTCGAGGACAGTTTTCTGATGGCAGATTCATAAAGTAAGCTGGGCGTAAGGAAGGTTGTAGATTACCTTGGATTCTGAGCAACCGTGGGTTAGGGTGAAACAGGAATGGTGTTTCACTGCTAATGAACAGGTTGTTTAATCCCACAGAGAAAAGAGCAGAGCAGGTCTGTCAATGACAGACTGCTTTATGTGTTCGAGTGTTCAAGACACTATCTAAGTTAAGAAATCAAATTCCAACCAATTACATATTTTTTACTCCTGTAACTTAAAAAAGGGAAATCTTCTACATTATATCACACAAACAATGATATATTTTAAGCATGTATTTCTAGGTTTTAATGATTATGGCTTACAGCTTGTAAAAGACCCTGAATTAATTCTCTGATCTTGTTTTTTTCTGATGTCCTCTGAAAATTTGAATATAACAAAATCCATTGAAAGGTTGTTTATGTGATATCAAGTAGCAGTAAAACGTTAGTCTCAGGCAACATTCCCATGAAATAGCTGAGATGCTTTGCTTGTGGAAATGCTAAAGTGTTAAATAAGCGCAGGTTACTTTTATACCAGACTTCTGATCTGAAACAGTGGATATGTTGTCTCTTATTGTCCTCTTAAACCCCTTCCATAGATTTTCTAGATGATTCTTTTTTTTTGACCAGTGACCACAATTTTGTCTTCTTATCAACTTTACATTTACATTATTTGATATAGCAATCTGTGAACAGCTGGCCTCTTGAGCGACAATATTTTGTGGCTCAGCCTCATTGTTGACTTAGTCAATACAATAATGTATAAAATCATTGTTAAAACATTAGAAATGTGTCAAATGTACATTCATTTATAGAAAATGCTTCAATTAAACTATTGAAAAACTATTGAAATTTGCAGATATCCTCCATGGAGAAGCGCCTGTATAGACATCAATCATGCTTTCCTTTACTGAAAGACACTTTTTAACCAAACCTGGACTTCAAACACACCAGAATGACTGAAAAATGAAGATGATAGCAACATATAGATTAACATAAAACACTTTAGACCTGGATTTCCTTCACAGACATTCTGACATGTGACATGATGAAAAGCACAGATTTCCCTAATAGCATCGATTATAGCTCACTGAGCCGCCCTGAACACTAACAGCACCAGAAAGGAGATTATCTAATTATTAATTAACAATCATTAACACAAATCATCTACAGCTGTCTGTTTTTGACTGATATTACAAAAGGCTTCTGTGGAAAAAAGCTTGATTCACTGCATGTTCCACATTTCTTCCTTAGAAATAACCGTTGTATATCCTGAAAACATTAAAGAAATTATCTTGGAAGTATCATTACATCTAATGATTGCACTATATTGGTTGCAAGAACCTTTCACTGACCTCCATTTCTTTGTTGTTTTATTATTGGGAATTAAGATGTACCTGCATCAACAGGAGCATGATGTGAATCTGATGATACTGGACAATCAGCTCAACGTTAAATTTTGAAGGGCTGCTCTAGTTAGAGGCTCTTTTATCAAAAACGTCATCGAGGGCAACACTGAGACACAAGGGGCGAACAGTCTCACATACGTACACCTGTAGCAGAAGACATTGTAGATATCAATTAACCTGGAATTCATGTTTTGAACTCTGCGAGGATGTACCTGGAGAGAAGCATTGGAGAAATTGTAAACTACATAAAGGAAGAGGCATGACGGACACCCAGGACCTTTTTTAAACAACAGGGCTAATAACTCTTCCACCACATAAATAATCAGACAACTGACATGTGGACAGAAGTTTAGGATTTAAAGGGACAATGGCAAAAAGCTTACAGTATGTTAAAGCCTATGTCAGTGTCTTTCAAAAGTATGCATACTTCTCTTTTTTTCTGCATTTTATTTCAGGCTATAACCACAAACTTTAAATTAGAGCAAAGTTGCAAAATGGAAGGAAATGTATACTTTGATTTAAATCTGTTTTTATTTTACTAACAGAGGGTAGGATATGTTTATGGATCAAGTACCTTTGAATTATCATTGACTGATTTCTTTTATCCACTTCTTCTTTGTTAAACTGGTCAAACTAAGAACAAAATGTCTTTTTTTTTGTGTTTTATGCTCATATGACATTGGCTGTACTTTGATTGCTGCATGATAAAAATAAGCAAACTATTCTGTTTAAGCTCTGGCAGTATGTTTACGATTGTTGTTCTTCTATGGGAGGACCTCATCCAGCACCAAGTCTTTTTTTTTTAGCCTCTAACAGGTTTTCTTCCGTGAGTCCTGGTCAGATAAACAGCTCTGACTGACGAAAAACATCCAAAAGCATGATAGTCCTTCCACATTTTAGAGTTGAGTTTGATGATGCATGGTATTGTATGAGTTTTCCAAACAGCTTCTTGTGACTTCGATTCAACAATAGTGCCCTAAATTATCACTCAATCCTTGTAGCTTTTGAAAATTATGCAGAATATATAGCTTGAGATGTGATTTGTGAAAATTTGCTGCAAAAACCTACAAAGACAATCTGTTAAGTGATCTAAAAGTACCAAACCTTTCATTTCACTGAGCAAAATGAAAAAAAGAAAAATCTGAAAAGTGAAGTATCCTTCCTCCCAGCAGCTGAATGACTCTATAACCACCGCTCTTCCTAACAACCTCAATAAGTTGTTACATTCATGCTGATTTTGCACAGTTTCAATCTTAGTCGGTTAAATAACATGCTGCTGTCATTTTGCACATTTCTGATGTTGCTGCTATTTTAAATATCCATTACTGTAAAAATGTCCATAGCTGTATATTGGTTATTTAACCTACAGGTGCAGTTTTTATATTGTTGAAACACTTTACAGTACAGTATTTATTTATAATAAATAAATTGTTTATTTTTTAACTCTTCACTCTTTTCTGTTATTCACGTTTCGAAGATCCTCATTTGTGTGACCATTTTTTCTACTTTGTTTTAGCTGCTGTAACACCTGAATTAGCCCCACTGTGGGACAATAAAGGGACTTTGTATTCTATTTTATTCCCTCCAGGAAAGGATGCTTCCACATCCCAGGTATAGTGAAATGAGGGTTATTTTAAGAGTTGGTTTTCTGCCATAGAGAGGGTTTTAAAAAGTAAAGTTTTGGTTGAAACTACACATTATTTATATAATACGATTTAATGCATACTCTGAAAAGCTTTTGAAAACTACAAACAGATCCTTCCTCCCCCCAAACACCGAAAATTGTCATGAACACAGTTCATGACAATTTTGATTCTGCTGTCTAAACTGTGGATCTCTGTAGCTTCTGCAGGAACTCTCAAGCTACAGTACCAACACTGACCTGGAGGACCTGGAAATAATTTTTAGCCATCATTCGTCTTTGAAAATTTAGCCTATGCAGGGGAGCTGTAAGAAGAAAGCTATTGTTGAAAGACAGCCATTCCTATTTGCACTTTTCTTGCCATGTAGGGGACACAGTTAACAAGGGGGGAAGCTGCTTTTTGGGCTATAGAGACAACAGAAACAGGCACTATTTATCTGAACACAATATCATGGTGGTGGCATTATGCTGTGGGGATGATTTTCCTCGCATACAGGGATGATTACAAGACATGAATGGGAGATCGATTGCAAAATACTGAAATGATGAAAACCTGTTATCAGCTTAAAACAAGGCTGAAGGTTCATCAGTCAGCAGGGCTATAAACCTAAACAGCCATGGGATGTATGACCCACTTAAAGTGCAAACCCAATTCAATTATGAATTTTAGACAAGATTTAACAATGCTGTTTGATCTCCTGCTGATGCATGCAAAACATTTCACATTTTTATCTATAAAAGAAACCATTTGTAAATGTTTCACCACCCGTACTAATCTGTCATGATGGAACAATAAAATTCATGGTACAAGTTGCAGTATGATGAAACCTGGAAAAGTTATTTCCACTAGAAGGCACTGGATGGAATAAAGTTGATTGGTTCCCTTATTGGATTTGACTGGAGCCTTTTAGGTTAAGGGTACGTTCCTATGAACTGGAGGTAATTAAATAAAGAGAATTTAACTTCCTCCAAACTGACTGTCATCTGTATGCCAGATAAATCCAAAGCCTGTCAATATTTATGTTTTTTTTTATCATTAAGGCAGCATTTACTGTGGGGAAAAAATGCAGTCTGATATATTTTCTCGTAAAGTAAGTGGAAGTATTGTGCAACTTGTAACACTTCTTGGTGGAGCTTTCTAGGGTTCTGCTGACAGTACAAAGTGCGCTGCTGTTTGTTCTCTTGTTATTTAAGATTCTTTAAAAAAATGTATTATGCATAAAATATGTTGTGAAATTATGCACATAGAACCTCGGCTGTAGTCATAATAATCAGGCGCAGACGTGCGCCAACGTGTTTGTGGAGCTTCTTGGCGGACTAAACGCTGCATTCCGCCCCACCCCTTGCAAACATCATCATCACCGCTTCACTTCAATCAGGAAGCACGGAGACGCTGTTTTTCTTTCTGTTTTTAACTAACGGAGACACTTTGGTTAAAGCTTTAACCGCGAACAAATAAGAGGGGGGGGAAAGACGCTTTATATTAATATAAAATAATAATAAATAACCCCTCTATGAACCACTGCTGAAAGAAGACACAGTTTTGGTTACATCCAGTGCAAGACTCAACTGTGGATGTATTTGACACAGACTAACCGGAGAAGGGTATGTTGTTGCACACAATCTGGAAACATTCACTGTTGTGGAAAACACATGCAAACACGCCATGGGTATATTCCTGCTATGTGGTTGTAGATTTACATCTTTATGACTGCAGCTTACGTGGTGTAACCATAGTAAACATGTTATCCACGTCGACTTGTTTTCATGGTGCAAGAGACGCGTAAAAACGTGCGGCGAAACGTGATTTAAAAAATATATATTATTTTTTTTATTTTAAGCCGTTGTTTTTCCAGATTCTAAAATGTGGCAAAGTGTCTTTAAGCATCTCGCACACCAAACTGTCACTGCGCTGGTCTGTCATGTGCCTTATGAGTGTCGTTTCCACCGCACGCACCAACCCTTCCAGTTTCCACTCTCTTGTTCCAAACTCCCTTGACTCATTTCTCAATATAGAGCTTATTTAGGCTTTGGTGTCGAGCTTCAACGTAGTTGCTCAAACTTAAACAAAATTCGAAAGTAAATTAAGTGTTTCTTTAATTCGGCTACCATAAAACTGTTAGAAGATGAATATAATCGGAGATTTTCTCTTTATTTGTGAGAAATCCTCACTCACTCTTACCGGAAATGTGTACGATCCTGGACTCTGTCGAACACCAATCAGCTGAAGTATGCTGGCGATATTAAAGATGATACCATTTGTTAGAGGATTGTTTGTTGGCCGAGTTTTTTATTTTTGTGAGTTGGATCATGGAGGGTATTAATCTTGCAGGAAATGGTGCAAAAATAATATAGTGAAGTTAATAACCTTTTAATTTGATATAATTTCAACTAAGGCTGGTGCTTGTAGGTCAGGCGTTTATGTTGCTGTTTTGTTGTAATCAGTTTTGGCCCAAAGTATCTATATTTGTTATCAAAACACAATACGCACATTGCAGAATGACAGTGTCAGTTTTATTTCTGACAATATGCTAATTAAATGCACTATTTTGGGTATGTAGAAGTGTCCCTATCTCTAACCAGAAGTATTTTGTTATAAATATTATATGTATAAATTTATAACCAAATACTTCTGTTTAGAGATAGGGACACTTCTAAATCTATATATATATATATATATATATATATATATATATATATATATATATATATATGTATATATATATATGTATATATATATATATATATATGTATATATATATATGTATATATATATATATATATATATATATATATATATATATATATATATATATATATATATATATATATATGTATGCTGCTAGCATCAATGGACCATGATCCAATTACCGAAATATCTATAACATTAAACATAATCCACTTTCTAAAAGAATTACATGTATGCGTGGTGTATTTCAAATCACTCTGAAACGTCATGCAGAGTTTTTTCCTCCAGAATGCGGTATGAAATCATACCTTAGGGCTTTAAACCTTTATATTTGTAAAACTAAAAACTAGGGTCGACGTTTTTGTTTCAACATGCTACTTTATAGTTTTTTTTTAGTCTGAGGAAATGTACTTAAAATTAAGCAAAAAGTAATTTGTTTTTCAAACACACAATATGTTAAAAGGGACCGCAGTTGATTCATAAAGCTCTTGATAACACCTTAAAATTTAATTATTCTTAGCATTCAAAACTGACTTTAAAGAACAAAAATGTCAATTATTTATGCAAAAGATTGCAGCGATCAGGCATTTCTTTGATTTCTTTGAGGTCAATCCTACCAATGACAAATTGTTAAACTAAATTTTTTCTTTTTCCTTTCTTGTCTCTGACAGGTAAAATGATAGTGTTGGTAGATACATTAATAAGATGGCTAGGAATTAATTGTATTGATGCATATACTGAAACCAAACCAAATACTGAATGTAAAAGAAAAATTATTGGACCCTGACCTGATCTACTTAAAGACTGCATAAATTCTTTTTGCTTTTCTTGAAAATGTTTGCCTGTTGTTGTACAGTGGAGTATGCTGGTGAATATTCTTAGTCATCCAGGTCATAGTAATACTGAAAAAGTTTAAAAAACTGTCGACTACTTTGTTTCCAAGTTTGAAGACGTTTCGCTTCCCACTCCTGGGAAACAAAGTATATGGGAGATGTGCTTCAACCAGCAGACACACTAACAATTAAATTACTCTAAAATTTAAACACACACCACTTTTTATAGCAAACATTGCATGGTACTCTATAATACAAAAAAACAGAAGTACTACTTTTTAGATACGATGTAGAAACAGGTTCAAGATTGAAAGGAAATTCATATGAAACAAAGAAATAACACCAGGGGCCATAGCTGTTTACTCTTATTGTTGCTGCTTTCTGCACGTGCTTTAAAGCATGCAGTTATACAGGAGTAGCTGTGCTTGGTTGAGCTGCAGCTTTAATAAAGCCAGCTGATTTGAACTTCTTTAATCAGGAAAATTTTATACAAGTTATGGAGAGGTTTAAAGATTTAACTCTCCTTTTTAGATGCAAGGAGAGCTAAACGTTAGGTGGTTTCAGTTTCTATGCAGATTCTATGGGCATGCCTTTGCTGTGATTTACCTTTGCATAGTTTGAAGAGAGACCTATAGTTTGCCTACAGCTAACTGAGTGGGGAAGGCCACAGGAATGCTCTCCATTAAATTTCACAGGATTTACTTCAGCCAGCGGGTAGAATGCCGAGAGTTGTGCTTACACAATCACATGTCTCACTTGGCATTCCTTCGTGCTTATGAGCAGCGCAGAGACGGCAGCGTGGCTGTACTCAAACCTTGTTCTGTTAGTTTTTCTCTTTGCGAGGAGACATTCGCTTTGCCCCTGTTTGCTAAGTGCACCACATCCACATGGTACATCTGCTGCTTACAGGTGATAAACTGAGGTTAGTTCACTTCCGTGCTCTCAGACTCACACGCTTCCTCTTCTCTCTCACTTCCCGTCGTGTCTCCGCCTGTTCTTGGCGGACAGGTTGAGTTGCATTACCTGAACAACTCCCCCTGCACACCATCACAGGAGTGCTGGTTTAGATCTGCCCAGGGTGTGGCACTCTGATGGCACTTCTTCTTATCACTAGTTACCTCATGTCCTGAAGTAGAGTAATATGTTTGTTTTGGGGTTTTCAGTATATTTTGAGGAATTTTATGTGATTGTGCAACACAAAGTATTTTTAAATGAGAATGAAAGAAGGAAAATGAACTGGTTTCTTTTTTTTATTTGTTATTTACCCCTTTTTACCCAGATATCTATACATAAAAGTCAAATACAAGCAGCTGCTTCCAGGAGTACCCTAGATATTAAATACAGTTCACTTAAGTAATTTATTCTTTGAATAAAACTAACATAATTTCCATTTTGTAATGTTTGTTGACAGTGTTATATGGGAGACTTCTTCAACAAATACAGTCCCTCAGAGGGAGAAAATAACTCATTTTAGTTAAAAAAAAGATCCTCAAAACATGGCTATAACTAAATAGTTAAGATTAAAGCACATTTGTGTGTAAGGAAGGCCTAGTCAAAGCCAAGATTTTAAAAAATGTGGTTTTCTGTGAGAAGACTTGAAAATAGATGTCCACAAACTCTCTCCATCCATCCGATCTGATTTGAATTGCTTTTGGGGGGGAGAAAATAAAATAACAATAAAGTACACTGAAATGTGTGGGTTGGAACTTTGGTGAGCACTAAATATCCATATTTAAAGAAAAAGTGTTTTGCAACAACTCTACATTGCTAAAAAAAAAAAAAAAATTTTGTTTTTGACATGCTTCAAACAGCATTATTAAGATTCATAATTAGAGCAAATCCAGGTGGTACTAAAATCTTTTGTGAATGAACTCAAGATGCATTATGAAAGGTTTTCAATCAGAGCAGGACATGAAGCATTCACATTGGTCTAAAAGCAGTCTGTCAGTAAATACCCTGTGCAATAACCTTGTATGATCCTGCTCAAAAAAAGAGAGATTTCAGCTGTCAGATATGTGGACATACAGTATATGCTGTATATACCCCCATGCACCTTTACTTCCTTTTGCACCTTCTTCTTCTTTTTGAATATTTGAACGGCTGCAATGAATACATTTTCTGCACTGTGAGATCAATAAAGTCAATCAATCAATCAATCAATCAATCAATCAATCAATCAATCAATCAATCAATCAATCAATCAATCAATCAATCAATCAATCATCAATCAAGGGATGTTGAAGGTGAAAAATCAACGTAACCTGACTCCTCAAGCAGCAGCCATTTCCAAATCTTACTTTAAAGTAAAAATTAAACAAGCAGGAGGCAAGAGAAGTCAGGACTGCCGACAACTAATATACATTAGTTAGAAGGCTATCTGGAATACTTTTAAGATTTTTTCTCTACAGACGAAAAAATTGTCTTATTCATTGGGGAAAAAGACATGACTGAACCTACCAAGGTCACCACAATGTTAAGTAATTTAGACATATTCACTATATTTGAAGTGCCTTGTGAATTTAACATGAAACAATATCTAAAGACGATCTGTTTTTACTGCAGGGCCATTGTACAGGTTAAATCCCTGCATACTAAAGTTGCACTTTATCCTGCTTTCTCAGCAACATTAATGTGCTCATGAAAAAAATAAAATGCATAAAATGCAACCCAGTTGAATCTCCTTGAAATGTTTACCTGGTGAATGTCAGTCATGTTGTTTTCTGAATAGGAGTGCCTGAAAGGAGTGAATGTATGTGTCTGTGTGATGCTAGAGAAACATTAGTCGACTCTTAATGCCCTGTTCGTTTCTCAGCTGTTAGCAAAGTCTTTGATGTACAGTGTTTGTTTGTCTGTAAAGCAGATCTTATAACCTAATCACTCAGGAATAGGAGCATAACAGTACATTGATTCAGAAAGCATCCGCTACAGAGCTGGCAGTTGGGTACGCACATGCAACAAACAAACGCAACCTTATCTTTCTACCTTAACACATGTAGAGTGTTTATGTGCAGAAATAGGTGTGCAGTGCAAGTGACACAGAAGCATAACAGAGAGGAGTCCCAGCTCTTGGTAAACACTGCTAT